CACACACACACACACACACACACACACACACACACACACACACACACACACACACACCCTGATAGTCCCCTGAGTAGTCTGGGTGTTCCAAACCCCGTCACGTGTGAAAGCTCACAGTGAAAGTGTGAAACTTACGGTTCAGCTTCAGTAATGCAATTTTCACATTTATCAATTAAAGGTGGTGAAGTTTAAAGTTTATATGGAGATGATGGGGATGATGCAGAAGGTGTGTTGTCTGTTAAAAATAGATGAAAGTTGCAGCTGCTGACTGCTTTGTCTTTGTTGTTGTGCGTCTCTTTAGGTTCAGGCTGTGGTGCCAGAAGGTCATCAGTCACAAGATGTTCGATCACATCGTCCTGCTCTTCATTTTTCTCAACTGCATCACCATAGCGTTGGAGAGACCYGACATCCATCCCAAAAGCATGGTAACAAACACACACCATCATTTGTTTTGCTTGTGTACTTGTAAATAATGCCAGAAAAACAATATATGTCAGCGCAACCATTGATGTATATTTTGTGACAATTTAGACTCAAAACTGCTTCTTTTCTAAATTCAACCATCTACTGTACAATCACATTTAAATGCAGGTTTATAGATTTATTTTTGGCATCTATAGCATATGTCACTGTGCAAAAGTCTTGAGTCATCCAYCATTTCCTTCAAAGGATTTGGAGTGTGTTGTACCTTTTTAAAAGGTGCTATTCAGCAATGTTTCCTCATACTTTTTGACTTAATTTTTTACAACCTTACCTGCTTTTCGCTTTTTTCAGTCCAAATCTTTATTTTCTGTGTGTTTATTAGGCCACTTATCTTGAACCAATGAATCATTCAGACATAAAAAGCTGCTATGATCGAGGCCTGAGCCAGGGCTGTGTCAAAACAAAACAGACAACTTGGCATTTAACCAAAATTAAATTCAATCTTTAGCTGCTGTGTGTTCCCAGCAGCTTGTCACAATAACAAAATGTGTTCTCGAATTTTTAATTGAATTCACAAAAATGTCAAAGATAACACAGTTTGACACAGAAACTAGTATTTCAGAACCAGTAGGGTGATTCCTAATGAGGTGTTGGATAATAACAGTAGGTAATCAACTGAAAGATGATGCTGCTCTCAGGTCTGTGCAGCCAAAATAAAGTAAAATGAAGAAATAAATTAATAAATACAATTTWAAAAAAAGCTTCCAGAAAGCTTAAAAACTATCAAGACCACATTAGAATGCTTGTAAAGTCTGAGTCTTGGATGCCGAATATAAAAATAAGGTAAAGGTGATTTAAACGTTCACATTGTTCTGGTTATTGTGCTTTTCATGACACAACTGCAGTATCTCATGTCACCTAACGTCTAAAATGTCCTAATGTAGCTTCTGAAGGATTTACCTCCTGAAACGTTGAGCTTTGAACAGTTTATTGTTCAAAACTATGATTTGCAGTGAGCATGAGTGTCCTGATGCATCTCAGTAATCAAGGTAGAAATAAAATAAAATTAAATTAAATTAAAAAAATAATTAAGTAGGCTGGACAGGTTCTTTTAATGAGATTGCTGATAAAGCTGAGTTTACCTGGAACTCTTCAGACTGAAGAAGTCGTTTGTAGGAGAGATGAAACGTTTCATTCAAGAAGAACCCATCCAGAGGGCCTACTTAATTATTATTTTTTTGGGAGTACCTGAGTGTTTTTGTGTGAAATTGAATCACTGTTTTTGTTTACAAAGGTAGAAAAGCTACATATTCAAATCATTTTATTGGATTCTAAAGTAAAACTTTTTAGACTGATGTTATGTCCTTTAAAGCAGTGATTCCCAACCAGGGGTACGTGTACCCCATGGGGTACATGAGCATATTACAGTGGGTATGTGGAAAGATTTCCCAGTACCTTGGACAGTTCCTCCAGCCATTCACAATTTCTAAAGCAGGGATTCTCAACCAGTGGTACATGAGCATATTATAGGGCGTACATGGAAAAATTTTCCAGGTGTGAAAAATAAATATATAAATGAAAATAGGACTGAGATATGTATGGCCCTATGATTTCCACAATGCAGAAATTGCAGATGGAATCACAGAATTAACACAAAATGGAATCCAGTATAAAATGCGGAATCTCACAGAATTTGCTCATTTGGGGGAGTTTCTGACATTTTTTTGGACAACACAATGTATTTAGGACACTGCTGTTTTCCTCTGCCATAACCTGTTTTATTTATTTAATTACTTATTCACTTTCAAGGCAACAGTTTTATCTTTATGTTTAATTTGAGTTTAAAAAATAAATGCCTGAGAATTAAACATATTTAATAATCAGTTGTAGTACATTATAGTTTTAGAGAATCATCATTACGTTTGACTGAAGGGGTGGTATGACAATATGGCTCAGGGGGTACACAATTCTAAAAAGGTTGGGAACCACTGCTTTAAAGGGTGGCAGAGTATATATTTTCTAGGCACATAGTTCAATTCTATACCACAATCAATTAACTATGTTACCTTCAGTTGTTATAAAAATGCTGTTTATATCAAAAATAAATTAGAATTTGTATCATCTATTTAAATGCCTTAAAACTGGCCTCTGTCTCTTTAAGAACCTCCTACCGTTTCTGACACTTCCACTTCAGCAAATCTTCAAGACAATGCTTCCTGTACATAGACAGTACTTTCTACCAGCAAGTGTTTAGGCAGCTCCATCAAGGATTTCTCAAACATAGAGTCAAAGCAATATTCTGGGTATGTTTTTAACTAGGGAATGGCATTATGACATGATATAAAGCTCAAAAATGTTGATTTAGCATTATACCAGCCCTTAAATATTGAGTTTAAAGTTCATGTAGGACAATGAGACATTTTCAGCTGAGGTTGAAAACCTTTCATCACTGCCTCAAGTTTGTTTGCGGAGGAATTTAAATCTGCGACTGAGAGGTGACCACACAGCTGCAGAGACACAAATCAGYGATATGACACCTTCCCACAGGCTGTGTGGGTGTATTTACTTGAAATTTTTAATATAACTACTGTGAAACAATAATAAAATCCATGTTTCACATAGCTTTTCCTTCTTTCTGGGCTTGTTTAGGTGTAAAATATCTAAATGCAAGAAAAGAGGTTTGATGCTCTTTGTCAGGAAACTGAAACGAGCAACTTAAGGCATGTGTGAKTGAGCACATGGAGGCACCAATTACACCACTTCTGTCTGAGGTTATGTAACCTGCAACTCTTTGATGGCAGGTTTATATATATTAATCAGCTCTTATTGCCCACACAATTATACCATGTACCAGAACCCATCCATGGTTCGTCATGACTCTTCAAAGCCTCACGGTTCAAAGTGGAGCTCAGTTAAACTGCCTTCTCCCTGTTTTCTTCATCCTCTCTTTCATAAASCAGTTTGTGAGGTAGAAAACCTTCCCTCTTAGTGGTGGGCCGATCGATTCACACGTCGATTGCACTAATACCAACGCTGACATCAGTATTGATCAATACTAGCGTGATGGGGCTGATACTCCAGCTTCTGTTTCTCTCGTCGACACTCGGCGTGTTGCTCCTGTTTCATTAAAAGTAGACATGTCTGTGCAAACACCGCTCCTTTCACATCTCGCCTGCACGCTTTACTCCTCCACAGCTCGGCTGGGCTCTGTTGCGTGCCGTCACGGAACTCAGCGGCGCCGAGAACACAAAAACACACGCTGGCTTGCAGAGAGCAATGACAGGATGGTACAGAGAAAGAGGAGTCATGTGGAGCCATTTTACCTCCTTTAATAAAAACCTTGCAAACTGCCATATGCATAAGCAGCCTATTTACTCCTGTAGCAACACCACCAATTTATATAAGTGTGAAGAAAAAAAATGCATGAAAAAGAACTTCAGCTTCCAACGAAGCAGAGAGGAAAATAGAAAAACCCCAAACAGACCCCCGACACAGAGACACACGATTGTTTTTATTAAATAGCTTAATTATAGTAAAAACAATATTTTAATAGTTTATATTTAGTCACATTCCTCACCTCCTGCTGGCTCCAGAAAATAATTAACATTTCAACACCCTTAGAAAATAAAAAAAATGTAGTTACTAGTTACTGCATTTAAAATAAGAATATAAGAATTGAAACATTTGTTCTCGTTATAAAATGTAGCAAATGTGGAGAACTCAAAAGTGGGGTTTATTAGACAAGAGGTGAGCAGATTTTCAAAAGAAAAATACCCCAAACTTTAATAACTTCGGGTGCTTCAGGCCAGGAATCAATAAGACAAACAGAAATAAAGAAGCAGGTAGACATGAGGAGTAGGTAGTAGAGCAAAAGGTAAAATGCTTTGATCCAGCAGAGAGAACAGCAGAGCCTATAAATGGACACGGATAACCAACAGGATGAAACTCTGATCTGAACAATCAGCACACCAAGATCTGGCCACAAGTAAAACCACCTGAAATGTACAACAAAAAGGTTTTAACATAATAAAACAGGATGAAGTGTTAGGTAGAATTAGAAAATAAAAACAGRCCTAATTGAAGAAACATAATCCCCACTCCGCCTTTCAAGCCTGTCAAAGTTTGTTCTAATGCTGGGAATAAACAGAATTCCAGCCTATTTAGTCGAACCTCAATGCATGATGTTAGCTGTGATGGTATCTGAGACGATTACTTCACATCTGCTAAAACAGATGTCTGTAAAACTGAGTTCTAATCATTTATGTGTCTGCCAAGGTTGATTATGTGGTGTTCATCTTGAACTGGGTTGTTCCAAAAGTGAATCTGTTGTAGACGTAAATCCAGTGACTGATCTGTGGGTGTCATTAAGATTCACCCAGTGATTCTTAAGATATTTTTCGAACAGAAAAAGAGGTTGACCCCAGCAGTTAAGGCCAACGTTTTAAACAAAGATGCTGCTCAGAGTGTGGTGCTGAGTCTGTGTTGGGAATTTCTTGCAGCTTTAACTCATCAGTCAAACTGACCTGGTTAGAGACATTTTATTTGTTTTTTGAGCTCATTTAGTTGTGGAGGCCATCTTGAATTGGACATTTTYTGAATGTTTAATTAAAAGCTGTTCAGTAATTTATGACATATTTTGTGACAAACATGACAGAAGTTACCACTAAAAACAAGATGTACTACAGAACACAAGATGATCTGAACAAAACATGACATAAAAAAACAGACACAAAAATTCAAACCAAAGAACAAAATAAAACCCTATTTGGTTCACACTGCATACTTTCAAAAGCAATTTATTATAGCACTGCAAAATAACTTTTTTATTATTATTTGTTCAAAAGCTGCTTGAAACTTGTGAAAAACTGACAAAGGTTTTAGTCTTTGGGAAGAAGCTCGGATGACAGCCATGCCAAGAGCAGGTYGAATTCTCTACATACTAATGACAGGAGCTCCATTGTTCCTTTTCAAACATCCTTTAGTGTTGGACACGCTTCACTATCCTTGTCAAAAAGAAAGGAGATAATGCCCACAGTGCTGCGAGACTGGCAGCAGCATTTAAATTCAGGTTCAGCAATTTTTACAAAGTCACGTAGACAAATATGAAGACCAAAGGAAGAGTCTGAACCACATCCGAAGTATAGAAACCAGACTGCTTCTTATTTGTTTCACTTCCTTCCTCCTCATGAAGCTGCACTTTGACAACACATGAAAAAATGATTAAATGTACCTTCTGATTTACATCTTTGGAGCAGTTGTACGGTAACAGAACCACTACTGCTATCTAACAAGGTTGGGATGTCTTTTCTTAAAGGGATTGTTTGGATCTTTAGAAGGGGGGTTCTGTTAGAAAATATATTTGTTTGAGACCAAAATACAAAGAAAGGAATTGTAGGTAGCTTTATGAATTATCTCACATTTGAGGAAATAGATGTCCATTTTGATGAGCTAATGGCTAGTCTGAGCGGGACTAAGACAAATGTGGGTCGCTGCCCCATTAGGACTCCAGACTTGGCATTTTACATGGGTTCATGCAGATTTTATTTTTTAAATCAGAATCAGTTTTATTGCCATTGCCAGTGAATACACAGACTAGGAACTCACAATTAAGAACACCCATTCTTATTACACACACTTAACAAACACTGAGGAGAACGGATGCCCAGGTCTTTYGCAACATTGTTGCGCTACCTTTTGCAGCTTGGAAATACACACAATAGGAAAGAATAGGAAGAAAATGTTTACATTGTTAGCTTTGCATTACACTATTTTGATTTAAAAAAAAAACAGGATAATTCTGCCAGAACTGGCTCGGGAATTCTAAAAAAAAGGGAAAAAAATACTATAAGATTTACAAACCTGTTATACTGGACAACGCTGGGCTGGGTACACCTAGAACAGAWCACCTATCCATCACAAGATTCTCCTGTATTTTTGCTTGTTTTTTTATATTTTTTAATTATTTTTTTATTAAAGTCAAGGGAAAGCCTTTAAGAAAAAAAAAACCAGGGAAGGTGATTCTTTTTGGCTGCAGAAAGGCCCCCCATTTGATTGAAAGTGTGTTTTATTGTGAAGTGAAAGAAACTGGGAGAACAAACCAGGTGTTTTAAACAGTTAAGCTGCAGCCTTTTCTGCAGGAGAGAAAGAATTTGTTTGGCATGGACTCGGCAGAGCTTTTCATACAGAAGAAGCTCTATGACTCATAGAATGTAATGGAATAACTAAATAAATGTCCACTTTAAAGAGCTCTTTGAAGTGAGGAGAGCCGGGTTTGATAAAAATGGAAATAATGCAGAAGGTCGCATGCTTGCTCGCAGCTGATGTAAAACAAATCTGAGCGCTGCAGTCCGAGTATGTGTTGTTTGTTGGATTTTATTTTATTTTTGTTGCTGTGCTTTATGTTTTAGCTCATTATATAATGTGTTGCTGTCCAGACTCAGAGCTGAAGCTACGGGGAAACACAACCTTTGAAATGACAAAATGTGCCTTTGTGTCGCTAGTCGCACTCTTATGTATGCACTTTGTTTTTATTCTTATTTTGGGACAGGAACGAGTGTTTCTCAGTGTGTCCAATTACATCTTCACTGTCATCTTTGTGGGCGAGATGATGATCAAGGTAACATTAACTGTACGGGCATTTTCTGATCTCCCTCATAAGGAGGAGCTGCTCTTCCTTGGGCRGGGAACCAAATATAAGAAAAGTAATTCTGATGGATTTGTGTGTTGGTAAGGTTGTAGCTACTGGCCTGTACTTTGGAGAAGGTGTTTACCTGCAGAGCAGCTGGAATGTCTTAGACGGCCTGTTGGTGTTTGTGTCACTGGTGGACATCCTGGTTTCCATCGCGTCAGCGGGCGGGAACCGGATCCTGGGGATGCTGCGGGTGCTTCGGCTGCTTCGCACCCTGCGACCGCTCAGGTAAGAGGACGGGGTTCACCGGCTGCCTTGAAAGACAGGTATTTGCCTGTTTGTGTGCATATTTGTTAGCTAAATATCCCATGAATCAGTGGATAGATTTAAATGAAACTCCCAAGAAGCATTCATTAGATGTACATCAAATCATTAACTTTTGGAGTCACCCCAATTCAAGATGATCGACACAGCTAATCAACCTTGGCCAACACAAAAATAGCTAAAACTCAGTTAATTTTACAGATATTAAGCTATAATTTGTTGTGTTAGTAGCTGAATCTAATCCCCAATACTGACTCAGACCATTTACAGATTACGAAATAAACCTTTGGCAGTAAATATTGGAGGCAACTCAGKCTGTTGACAAYATCTCATGAACCAGTGGACTAATCTAAATGAAACCTTCAGGAAGGAATTACTGGATGCACATCCACAACTGATTACCTATTGGATTCAACACAATTCAAGATGGCCGCCACAGCTAATTGCAAAACAAAAATATGGCTATAAGTCTGTCTGTTTTTAAATGAGCTTATATTAGGTGTGTTGGTCGCTGATGGTCATCCCATCACACACTCTGGGTGCTAAAAGAAGTACAATGTTTTTATTTGAAACTTTGGCTGCAGGCAGCATACATTCCTTTGAGAAACACTTTATTTTACTCCTGTTTTTTCTTGTTTTCTTGTTGTGCACGTTGTGTGTCTTGCAGGGTGATCAGTCGGGCTCCAGGTTTAAAGCTGGTGGTCGAGACGTTGATCACATCTCTCAGACCGATTGGAAACATCGTTCTCATCTGCTGYGCTTTTTTCATCGTGTTTGGAATTCTGGGAGTGCAGGTAAATATTTACTTCGTCTTCATCCTCTGTTGGTTGAAAGCAAAGATCCTTTAACCATGATTCAAACACACACACGCAGTTAACCATTTTCATTCAAAGGATGTTATGGTTTCTGCTGAGGGAAAGCCACTGATCCCGGTGGTTTAAAATAAACGAGGCACGGATCAGAAAGGCTTCAGGTAATAAAAAGCGARGAGGAAAATTGGAAGGAAATGCAAATGAACTGCTGATTATGCAAGAGAGTCCCTTGAAGTAATTAAAAATACAATGGCTCTACGGAGGAATTGTGCTGAGAATGTGTTCTTTAAATCAGGTTTTTAACCAGGATTTTTATATGGTTCGTTGAAATAATTGAATCTATTTATTAGTTATTAATGTCAGGGAATCTTCACTGTTTGGTTTTACTTGAAGGAAAACTATCAAGCTCAATTTAGATTCAAATTCACATGGAAAACAGCGACTGGCCCTAATGTCTCACATCAAACGTCGAAAAGATTATTCCTCACAGAAAATCATCTTTTCGTCAGAACTATTTACAGGAATTTATGGCTTCATTTCTTCAGACCCTGAAGGTCTTCAAACATCTTTAAATGGAAATATTAGGGAGTGTAAATTTGCTCTTTAGACGAAAAGCTTTTATTGATTTTTTTTTTCATGTTAACGGGACAGTTCAGATCCTTTTCAGTGCAGCTCTGTGAAGTGATTAAAAGCACCTAAATCTTTTAGATTATTTGTATTTTGGGCCATTATGATGAGCTAACAGCTAGTCTGAGTGGAGCCAGGATCAGAGTGGGCCAAACAACTACATCCTAAAGATTTTAAAGTACTTTATGCAGCCACAGTTTTAAAAATCTTTCTACTTCAGTGAATTAACAATTATGTAGTTATTCAGTCTGAAAATTATATTTGATTTCTGCTAGAAGTGCCCCAGGCTGCAATGGTTGCTAACAAGCTGCTGCCACTATACGAGAATTCAAATAACCATAGATTTTATACTCCCATAATAAAAGTTTRAAATGTAAAGATTTRAATWAGTCTTTGTGAAATTGAATGAAARACAGCAGTGATCCACTTTGGTGTTGATCTGGCTCAGACTAACTCTTAGCTTGTTAGTCCTGAAGTTAATCCAATCTGAGGTTGTTTACAAGTTACAGTATCTACAACAGGTAAGATATTGACTGGGCACAGTGTTTCCACAAAACAACACATAAGGAAGTATCAACAACTAAACACTATATGCATACTGTGTATATATATATATATATATGAAAGAAAACAGTTTTTGACTTACAGCAGCTTTTAAAAATTTGCTGTCACTTTTTTCATCTGGTTTTCATTTTGCAAATCACTCGACAAATATTTTGATTTATTTAGTATTCAAACAGAAGGCTGCAGAAGGAGGCATAGAGACGCACACATTTATCAAAAATCTGCACTGACTTGATTATTCTTTAATGAGAGCGCACGACGCTGCAGTGTAGCTGTCCTCATGCAGACAGGACCAGATGGTATTTGGGGAATCCTAACTGTAAGATGACGGCCCGCAGGCTGTCGCTCTGAGTTTTTTACTGTACGCTCTTTTCCATGCTTTGTGTTTGTTATCTTGAGGTTCCAGTTGCATGCATTTATCTGCACCTGCTCATTTTTTTTTTTTTTTTTTTTTTTTTTTTGCAGCTGTTTAAAGGGAAATTCTTCCACTGTGAAGGGCTAAGCGTCAGAAACATCACCAATAAAACAGAGTGTCTGCAGGCCGGCTATCGCTGGGTTCGGCGCAAATACAACTTTGACAACCTGGGACAGGTAAGCCTCATATCCCACACATCCTGCTTTTTGACACCCGCTCTCACCGATTGATCGACAGCCTTGATTCGTACGCGTCTCCCTCATCCAGGCACTGATGTCCCTCTTCGTCCTGTCCTGTAAAGACGGCTGGGTGAGCATCATGTACGATGGCCTGGATGCTGTCGGAGTGGACCAGCAGGTGAGGAAACACGGAGGGGGAAAAAAGGCAAAAAGAAAATGCAGAAAATATGGTMTTTTAAGGTGTTTATGTCAGTCTCAGGCATGTTAGATGTGGTTTGCTTGAAGGAGAAAGACGAAGTATTTTAGACGAGATGTGAGGAGGTGTACGGAAAGGGGAAAAAAACTGCAGRTGGATAAATAGATGTGACAGTGCCGGCAGTTTCACTGCTGACTCAGAACTTACATTGTCTTCTTGTTTGTGCTCTCCCCTTCTCCTTGTCCCCACCCGCCTCCCTTTATTCTTCTCTGGTGCTCATGTTCCACCTTATTCATCCTCAACTCCTCCTCCTTGTTTTTTCCTGCAGCCAATAAGAAACAACAACCCTTGGATGCTGATGTTCTTCATCTCGTTCCTCCTCATTGTCAGCTTTTTTGTGCTCAACATGTTCGTGGGTGTGGTGGTGGAGAACTTTCACAAGTGTCGCCAGCAGCAGGAGGAGGAGGAGGCGCGACTGAGGGAGGAGAAACGACAAAAGCGATTGGAGAAAAAGCGGAGAAGTGAGAACACATTACGGTGATGGGTGGGGACGGGCACTTACACTATGAGGCCAAGAGTAAAATCCTAGCTGGCACTTCCAGAAAATGTCATGCCAAAGCTGTTCCCATTAAGATGCCATTAGAACCAGTGACACTCTTCTGAAGAATKATTTCTACAAGTCATCGATTCACAACTGCAGATATTTGTTTCCTTTTAGCTCTAGTTTATGTCAGTGCATACGAGTTATCCTTTTTTAGGTTTATAGAAGCTCAGCTCTGTGTCTCAGGTGTTTGAGAGCTTTATTAGCAAACTTATTTCTCAGTCCGTGCACATTTGGTCTCCTTTGAAGTCTGAAACACACATTAAAATGGACATCCCCCCCCCACCCTCTGATATGAAGTATTCATGAAGGAGAGATACAGAATAAAAGAAGACAATGTGCCAAAAGAAATGCAAACTGCTTTTAACAACCTTGGAAACATGGCTGCTGCCAGAAAGACTGAAAAGGAAAGAAAGCAAACTCTCAGTGRGAGATTTTCATTCCATGGTTGTTAATAAGACTTGGAATTGTAGCCTTAGGTAATCAAGTAAACTTCTTTTAATCCCTTTCAGAAAGCCCTTTTCTTTATGAACCTAACTTCATGCATGGGAGTACAGTTATGGTGAAAATTGTGCTATAAAGATAACGGACACCAATGTCTTTTTATTTTATTTTGTTCTTTTAATGTAGCAGCAAATTAAAGTTTCAGTTAGTTTCATTAACTATATGTTGGTATCACTGTAACACTGCACTAAAACTTTATTAGAATTAGAATTAGGAGATTAAGTGATTTACAGTGTACCCTAATTTGGTACCAATCCACTCTGCACGGAGCTACCAGCTCGTTACAATAACTCTGAGAGAACAATTCAGACAGAACTTTGAGTCTTGACTGTTCTTTATTTTAAAAGGTGTTTGTAGAAATCAGTTTTTCTTCCTGTGACTGAGGTGCAGAAAACACATGAAACAGAATTGTAATTATCTTTTCTTTTCAGCTCTATGTGTCCAGATGAGAGACCAAATTATGCGCAAAGGATCCATTCAGTTCTTAGACTTGAAATTTATTWACAGACGTAGAGTTTACCACACATATTCTCAGATCTGGTTAATTTCCTGAATCCCCCTTGCTTTGGAGGCTATGGAAATGGCCCCGAACAACACATGACCAACAACTTTGTATCAGTTGAGTCCCACCCAGGATATGATGTCATAAACCAGGAAGTAAACACTTCTAACATGTAAAACATTATGTTTGCAAGACATGTATATTCTCTGTTTAAAGTACATGATTACAATCAATCAGTATAAAATATATCGAAAATTCAGTGCATCAGTCACAAAAGAACCTTCATACACAAAGTTGTAAAATTTCAACAAAAATGCAGAATAAATAAACTAAATTTAGTTGTAGTTCTAATGTAAACAATCATATACCACATTTTTCACACTGTCCCTAAAGAACCCAAGCAAAGACACATTAGATGGGTACAACCATAGAGCCTTGGCCAAATGGTGTAGATCAGGGATGGGCAACTGGTGACCTGCGGGCCACATCTGGCCCATGGGTGACTTCTGTCTGGTCAGCTAATGAGGCCCCTTAGGTTCTTAGAATGTAAGAGCTGCTTTGAGTGTTTTTTAAGTGTAAAAATTTTTTTATTTATTTACTTGCAGGGGTTGTAAACTATCTTTTCACAGAATTTCAAGGCAAACCTATGTGTTCAGTCTGCTTAGAGACGCTGCACAAAGCTAAATATGAGAAGTTTATGAAAGTCGCAAATACATAACAATGACTTTTTACCAGAACCCCAAAAGAGTCTGCACTCCAGGCGTCTTATGCCATTGCACTTCAACTCACTAAAATAAGTGTTTATTTTTGGTTAACTTTAAGGGGCAGTATCATGTAAAATCAACTTTTTTGAGTTTCATATCATGTTATAATGTTATCCTGTCATCAAAAACATGCCCAGAGTCTTACTTTGACTCATTCATGCATGTTTTAGAAATCCTGTAGTGTCCTGAGGCAGCCAGGCAGGGGAGCAAAAACAACTGGTTGGGACTAGAACYGCCTTTTGGGACCAGCTCCTCCTCTGGGCTGTGTCTCCAAGCTGAGCTTCCTCATCACAGAGCACACACACACCCACTCGGCCCCATGCTGAAATGAGCGCGACAGAAGCGGAAGGAGGTTCTTAAAGAGACAGAGGCCAATTTCAAGGTGTTTAGAAACAGATTTGATGAGAAGTCAAGTTTATTTTCTATTTAAACATATAAACAGCATTTTGATAACAACTGAAGGTGACATAGTTACTTTATTATGAATATAATTTAAATATATGCCCGAGAAACACATAATATTGCCCCTTTAAAACATTTTGTACTCATATTTATTAAATAAGAGTATAGCTGTTATACTTGCAATTGAGCATGAAGTATTTTAAAATTACTGACAATTTAAAATGTCAGTTTTATTACATTTGGGTAAGTGTGCAGCGCTACGTGGCCCTTTGGTAGTGCCAACAAAAAATGTGGCCCCTTCCATCATTTAAGTTGCCCATCCCTGGTGTTGAAACACACACTCACTGCTTTCTTTCTAACGTTTGCAACACCACATTTGTGACTCACTCTGCCCAGTCTCTCTCTCTCTCTCTTTGCAGTGTAATTTCTAGTAGTGCTTTCACGTTAGTCAGTGAATGGTCTGGCAGCAGACACCGAGGGTTTTTGCCCAAAGACACCTTGAGGTGCCACGGAGTGTGTGTATGCATGATGGATAGGACGAAAATCCTGAGGTGGCACTTTTAGTCTGCACACACACACACACACACACACACACACACACACACACACACACACACACACGCAGCGAAGTGCCACTTGGCACACACTGCATCAGTGACTTCATAGCCATATCTTTTTTTTCCAGAAGGGTTTCAATGACTGCCTGTGTGTCTCGGTGTTTGTGTGTGTCTGTGTKTTGGTGTGTGTCTGTGTGTTGGTGATTGTRTGTGTCTGTGTGTTGGTRTGTGTGCGTGTGATGCAGGGGCCCTGGAGAAACCATATTACGCTGACTACTCCCCACTGCGCCGATCCATACACACTTTGTGCACCAGCCACTACCTGGATCTCTTCATCACCATCATCATCTTCACAAACCTCCTCACGATGAGCATGGAGCACTACAACCAGCCTCAGGTAACCATGGCAACCCCTACTCCCACCTGTCCCAGAACCATAGTAATGAAGTACAGCCACAGTGGGGTTCAGTTCTCTTTTTCTTTGTGTCCTGCAGTACCTGGAGGAAATACTGAAGTACTGCAATTACGTTTTCACTCTAGTTTTTGTCATCGAGGCCATTCTGAAGCTCATCGCCTTCGGGCTGCGGCGCTTCTTCAAAGAGAGGTGTTTATGTTGTCGCGTGAACACAAAAGACTTGCACAGACACACACTTTCATCCTTGGCGTGAGTAAAAACAATCGTCTTAATGTTTGCGTTAAAGGTGGAACCAGCTGGACTTAGCCATCGTGCTGTTGTCTATTATGGGAATCACACTGGAGGAAATAGACCTGAGCGCCTCTCTTCCCATCAACCCTACAATCATACGCATCATGAGAGTCCTGAGGATAACGCGAGGTGCTTACTCCTCAACACGCACACACAGAGTACACACAGGCATAAAGAGTGGCTGATGAGAGCTGACGTGCTGTGTTGTTTCAGTGCTGAAGCTGCTGAAGATGGCCACAGGGATGAGAGCTCTGCTGGACACAGTGATGCAGGCTCTGCCTCAGGTAAGAAGCAGCCGTGATGCTGGCAAAACAAAAGASTGTTTTTTTTAACTGATCTCCTGGTGTCCAGAACTGATGAAATGCAGGCTGCTTGTTTATTTAGGAGTTTAGTTGGCTGCCTTCCGCGTGATTTACGAACAGCCCTCGTCTCTACAACCGGCTGCTGTTAAACCTGCAATAYACGACAACAGCAATTAGGCTGCAGCAATTTAGCTGATTGCTGATCCTTGATCCAYGTGGCTGGTAAAACTCCCAGCTTTGATTATGCTTTTGTCGCACTCAGATTCACTCTGTTGGGATTGTTTTGCTACCAGGTATCTGTGAAAAGATAAATCACGAGTCAGTCTGAAAACCTCATCATCCGCAGAGACACCACATTTGTTCTCCTTTAAATCAAAACGTTGTCAGGTTCACACATCGGTTCAAGTACCTGCTGGATAATTGGGTTGTGTGTATCCTTTTAGTGTTTTGATAAGCTTGAGCAGCTTATTTCGGGATGGCATGCAGATTGGACAGAGTTCTGAAAGGCAGGTTTTTGTCTTTTTTTAAACCTTTTTTTTGTATTTGAGCCCCTGATGTTCTCATGTCAGTCTGACAAACTAACAAGATTCGACTAAATTATCTGCACATTAAACCAAAGTAACTGTCTCTGGGAAATATTTTATAATTTTTTTATAGAATTAAAGTTCCTCCACCAGTAGTGAATGAAGTTTACTGGAATTTAATAAACGCTGGTATTTTAAAGTTGGTAAACAAATCCAAAATTTGAGTATTTTGGCATAAATAACTTARAATTAAACCTCTTTCTTGAAGGAACACGTGTCTTCTGCCACCTTTTTTATTAAAGTCCTACGAGAGTCTTCAGTGAAGATTATTAAATGTTAAGAAATTATAAAATTATGCAAGGTTGTATGTAAGAGAATGCATTTTAAATTACTCACAGCTATACTGCCTATCTGTAAGAAAGTCTGAATTATTGCGATTCTTATGTTTTCTAAGGTGAACCTTTTTGTGGCAGCTATCTTAATTTAAGTTGGCTCCAAAAAATAATCAGTTGTAGAGTTGTATCCGATAATTATTTCCTGAAATTTCATTAAAATTTGTTCTTTTGCCTTTTGGCTGTGATGATAAAAGCATCATCAGATAGTTATAGGACCAGAAAGTGGACAATAAAGCCAAATTAGTTCACAAAGACAAACATAATTACACTTGGTCATTTAGGGAAATGATACAATATTTTATTTCTGTGATTAGTAAAATAATGGGAACCTTTGCTTTCATTATCTGCTGTGACCTTTTATATGAAAAATGTTGTGCGTTTGAGACATTTTAGCTTATTTGTCTTAAGTATCTGGTGTGTGTAGATTTTTACTCCTACTCTCCTAAATTCAGGCAGTTTATCATAATTTCTGCTRGTTTGGGTTTAAGATTTTAATTGGACTCCCTCTAAAGCAATATTCCTCATGTTTTATGTGTTTCTCTGGTTCAACAAAACAACAAAAAACATGCRGGATAGTGAGTGGCCCTTGAGGACCAGTATAGGACATGCCTGAAACATKTATTTTCTTCTTTCTTAGCTGTTCCATTTTTTTATAGCTTGTGTATTTTTTATGCTTTATCAGTTTTTAGAGTCAGTTCACAGATGGATGTTTTTAATGAGATGCACATTTTCAAACTAAAATTGGGATGCAAACTTGCGTATATGCTTCCTCGTTTTAGACTTAAAACATGCCGTCACTATGAGCAAAATAAATAAATAAAAAAATAAAAAAATAAATAAAGCAGGTAGTGTTAATTGATTTTAACTTCTTTTTTTATTTTTGATGATTTTTAACTTCTTCCTCATGAACTAACAATTCTTCATCCCTGAGCTTTGTATTGGTTCAACTCATTTACACAGGTAGCAGCTAGCTCCCTAGTCCCATTCAGTTGTGTAAAAAAARSYWAARGKTTTTTTCTTCTTCTTTTGAGTGTTAAAACTACTACARAGAAAATAATGGATTCACTCTAAGTAAGACCACAAGCTTTGTATGAGTTCCAAAAAAAGGTGATGATTTTCATTTTAGTTGTTCTTGTTTTGACATCTACCTGGACTAAAGCTGATAAATGCAGGTGTGTGAAACCCCATGTGAGCAGTTTTAGACAGAGCAGACGTCTAGGTAAAAACTGTCTTGAATATGACCTAAAAAGCATGTAGCTGTGGTTTGTTTAAAAGGGAAAAAATATCATCCTTTAGGATGTTCCAAACTCAGGCCTCCCACAGGTGACACAGTGACACCAACCTGTCTTCTCTGTTTTTGTTTCCCCAGTTTTTAAACTCATAGTTCAGCAAAAAGCCTTTCAGAAATAACCATCACTTAGAACCGCTTTAATATACATGTAAAAAATGAGGAGAGATTTAAATCTTTTGCTCACTGTATATCTGTTGTCTGCAGGTCAACTATATTGAGTTGTTTAAAGAGTGATTCTAACTAAATTACATGCCTCCTAACTTTTTGTCCAAATTAAAAAAAAAACATTTCTGAAGCGGTGGAGCTCCCTTCCTGGGCTCCATATCCGTCTGTGCAGGTGTTCCAGCAGAGAGAGTGTAATTTATCTCTGATCCAGCCCTGCCAGCCCACGTGCAAACTTCCCTTTGAAGTGGCTTGTTGCTGCAAGCGATCAAACCCGGTCCTTCGCCGTGGTGTCCAGGAGCCTTTCCACCCTGCACTTTGTCAATGGATATCTAAAGCTACAGCAAACAGAGCCGTGTTCTTATAAACAAGCAGGCTTAAAACTCATCAGGGCTGGATCCAGGCGACTAACAGTTACTTGTGTTTTTTATTATTATTATTTGAACTAACATCTTATTTTACTCCAGGTTCTATTTGATGGCTACAGTTAGTTTRTAAGAAGTGCTAAACATCAGTGCAGTAAGGCTTTAGTGGTCTCTGTGTTTATGGGCTCTCTCTATCTGTTCACAYGTTTGTGTTTCTCATGATGTTTTGCTGTTCACGTCGATCTTTTTTCCGTGTATCATACCCTGTATATATCTGTGTGTGTGCGTGTACTGTGTCTCTGTCTAGGTGGGGAATCTGGGTCTGCTCTTCATGTTGCTGTTCTTCATCTATGCAGCACTGGGAGTTGAGCTCTTTGGAAAACTGGGTTAGTGTGTGCGCGAGGTGCACAGGCGTGCGTGTGCCGGCGACTGCGTGTGTGCATGCGTTTAAAAACCAATGCTGAATGTCGTGCCCCTATCTGCGGAATTGCATAACAAGAATGAATTTTTGTTGACTTGCATGCGTTTATGTCATTCAGAGCTCCAATCTACAAACAGCTCTCTTTTCTCTCCCTCCTTGCCTCCCTTTTCCTGCTCCTGCCGCCTCTAAAGCATATTTTTACTCTTTCTTTTTTCAGAGTGTTCAGATGAGAACCCGTGTGAGGGTCTTAGTCGCCACGCCACCTTTGACAACTTTGGCATGGCTTTCCTCACACTCTTCAGGGTGTCCACCGGGGACAACTGGAATGGGATTATGAAGGTCAGAGCTCATTCTCTCCTCTGAGAACCTTTAAGAGGATGGATAAACTGCAGAGTGGAATTTTTTGTCGGATATAGGCAGTGGTGGACAGTAATGGAGTACATTTACTTGAGTRCTGTAMTTAAGTACATTTTTTGTGTATCTTTACTTTACTTGGTTAATTATTTTTTGGGGTATTWATGACTTTCACTCCACTACATTTCAAARACAAATATTGTACTTTTGACTCCACTACATTTCTTARAAGCTTGTAGTTTCTTGTTTCTTTTGGTTCAGCATAGTTTTGTATAGTTTTYTTYCTTGGAATGCAATTGGCCACCCGCTATGTTCCTCACAAGGGGAACCAATCACAGTCATAGCTCACATCTAGGATAGATTTGGAATTACATCATCTTCATTAACTATCGCGAACTGAGCTCCACCTTCATTTCAAACAGAACCCAGCAATGGAGACGATTGAAGAGAGTAGAGAAACCAGCGCACCCATGGCCATATCGCAGCTCTATGTTTGAGATTTTCCCATTAGTTTAWACATCTTAYGTGTTCACTGCAGATAAACTACATTTCTGCATTTAAGAGCTCTCTGTTCACTTTATTGTATTTTTATACTGAAGTCTTTACAGGTGGTGGATTTGTAGCAGAATGGTTGTGTGTGTCAATACTTTGTACATCAGGTGGTTTCTGAGAGCTACAAGGTTCTGTGAAATCACTCTGAAATCAATACAGCAATGTACTGACATTAGAAAATTTAATTTGTACTTGTGAATACTAGGGTACTTTTAAATGCGTGTACTTTTTAATACTAAAGTATTTTCAAAAGTAAGTACTTCAGTACTTTAAATTGAATAGATTTTTGACAGAGTAACTTTTACTTGCAGTTGAGTAGATTTGACCCTCAGTGTCAATACTTTTACTCAAGTACTAGAGTTGAGTACTTTGAGTCTGGACTGTTTTTAATGACAGACACGTGAGCGTTTATAAACTCTCTGAAAGGCTCAAGGTCTCAGCTGACATTAGGTTCAACATTTCCTCCTGTTGGAGACGAGAGGAAGCACAGTTTATTGTGCGGGGATTGATAATCTTAATCCAGTTACCCATTATAATTGCTTCATTATCTAAATCCTCTTTAACGGCCGTCTTTGTGCAGGACACGCTGCGCGAGTGCCGCCCTCAAGACCGCCACTGCCTCAGCTACCTGCCCCTGATCTCCCCCGTGTACTTCGTCACCTTCGTCCTCACGGCTCAGTTCGTGCTAGTCAACGTGGTTGTGGCCGTCCTGATGAAGCACCTGGAGGAGAGCAACAAGGAGGCACAGCTGGAGGAGATGGAGGAGAGGAAGGAGAGGGAGGAGGCCGCCGCCCGCCTCCTCGGCTCGTCGGCGCCGGGCGGAGACCCGGCGGGGAAYGCAGACCCACCTGTCCAGGTAACAAACAGAGGACGGTCAGACGTCTGTGTGCTGTTGAAGGAGGCGGCGGTGACAGAGGTGGCTGATCTCGTGTGGCAGGTGCAAGTAGAAGATGAGGAGTGTTCCCATGGAAACCGTGCAAGGATGGGACGCATGCTGTCTCTCCCCAGTGACACCTACGTCCCGCCGCTCAGAGGCTCTTCTTACGCTCCGATTGGCCACGAGGCTGGCTGCGGCTACAGCTACTCTGGTAATTTGGTTGTTTGGAGCAGATTAAATTGAGAAACAGCTTTTAGGGCCCTGTAACAGCTAAATGACTGCTGTAAAGATTATTGCTGCCATAAAAAGCTTAGACAGCAGTTGAGATGTGAAGTGCTACATCAAGAGCTACTGTTACTGCAGACTTAAAGAGTTTATTTCTAAGAGTCATGACAAATTAATCAAAGCAGGGTTTGCCATCAGAGCACTTTGAGGGTTTTATTTATTTTCCTCTACGTCTGGTACTTTCCCATCTTCAGTTTTAGTTTGTGTTTTTGTACAGGAATGCCTATTTGTCATAATAATATTATTATTAATAATAAATGACAATAAAATTATGAAACATTTAAAATAACATTTTCATAGTAAATGAAAATGAATAAAAATGTACACATACAACTTTTCAAATTTTTGAGTCAATCCGATTCAAGATGGCTGACACGGCTGATCTATGGAGGACCAAATCTGACATGATTAGAAATAAAGATAGAAAAGTATAAAGGGACCAATAAATAAATAAATACACTTAAAAAGCACTAACTCAATTCTTTTGCTTTAAACTGCAGCAGCAGCAGCAGCAGCATGCACAGTAGATCTG